TCATAGTTCTTGGTAGAGGCAATATGTGAGTAAAATGAGTTTAGTAAATGGCATGAGAGCAAGGAAGAAGACAGACCCATTCTGAACAGTAGGTGTAAATTAATATGGCTTTTGAAAATGTTACGTATTGCCATAAATATTACAGTGCTTAATTTTTATTCTTTTAGAACTTGGTTTTCTGGAGTCAGAAACATACTGAAGTAGAAACGGTGGATCTTGTCTTAAAGTTAAAGAATAAACTGGTAAGTAACTGAATTAAACATGGGCTCAAATTTGCATGACTTAACTAGATAAAATATTTTCCTTTACGTACCTATAAACACTATTATACTTTTAAGGTACAGGTATTTTAAAGAATCAATCATTCAGGCTTTTAAAACAAGAATAGTTCATTCCAGCTGTGCCTGAAAAGTTAGCTGGCCTGCCAGCAGTGTCCAGCTATGTTAGAAGCATCGCACTGATCTCATTGTTTTAAAACTAGTTGGAGCTTTGTGATTGATCTGAGCAGGAGCAAGACTGAATCCTCAGGAAAGAAGACCGAATTGTCTTGTGATTCCTGGAAGTCCAAATCACTATTAGCTCATGCTGCTGTGTGGTAGTTGAGGAAACCTGCTGTTGTCCAAATTCTTGCTTGGTCTGAAAGGAATTAATTTTGCAGGTCTGTTAATATGTCGCTTTGGTGCGTCTTAAGGTAAAATTGCATTTTTAGTAGAGATCATGTTTTATGTACTTTTGCAGTTGCAGGCTGACAGAGAACATCTTCCTGTGAAAACTGACACATTGAAAAAGCTGCAGACACACATCAATGACATTATACTAGCACTTCCAGATGACTTACAGGACATCTTGCTCAAAACTGGCACAACATGATTTCTACTGGACTTCTTTGTGCAGAAAACAGAAGGCAAGTGTAGTTCCACAGAAGACAGTGGCTTATCAAGTTGGGAACACAGCTCTAAACAGTGTATTAACACTACAAGTGGACTGTACTAATCATATAGCCCACTATACTATTTTCACTGTTTTTTCCACTTAACTACCAATGCAACAAAAAAAAATCCTGTGTCTAATAATGTCTGAAATAAGTGCTCTTAAAAAAAAATCTGTGGGCATAATGAAACTATACCACAGCCTAGGACCACAGTGCAGTGCTGGCATTGCAGAATGTTTTCCAATTGGTGCTGCTATACCCAATCCTGTTAACTCAGGGGTAAGCAATATTGATCCTGTAACTGTCCTGTTGATGTAGTATCTGATTACTTTTTTTTTTCCTTTCGTCTTTTAGTTTTCATCTAGTGATAGTCCAACTGACATATTATGTGTCTTGGTCAAAATACATTATAATTGAGGTATTTTACTGGTAAATCGTGGCTCTCCAAACTGTTTCAGGGACAGCTGAAATAATCACATCCATTCTTAACTTTCTTCCTTCCTCCTTCTTAACTGCCTTTCCAAAGACATATTAATTTAACTGACCTTTCCTGAAGAGAATTCTCTTCCGTTCACAGTCATAGAGTGCTCTTACTCACATGCCTTAAATATAAAGTAATTGTATACTAATTGGTGGTTTTAAACTGCTGACATCCAGGATTTAAAGTGGATCACTACTGTAAATGTAAGCATGCAGTATTCATCACAGGAAATAAATACAGTGGTGTTCTAGTATGGATTTTAAAATCAGTGATTTCAGTAGAGTTAGGTGATACAAAATCTGTTTCAGTTGGAGATCATAGCTGTCAGCTCCAGTTATTTCTTTATTTTTTTATTTACATAAGGCATTTGAGGAGGTAATGGGGCTGGAGGGAGATGATGGCTTCAACTGAAAAAAAGCCTATGGAAAAGTCAGACTGTGGCATGAAAAGTTCGTAGCATGGAATTGTCAGTGTACACATACAGCAGACATGCATAAAGAGTAATTTTCTCTTGAGTATTAAGCAACAAGAATGTGATGTTCATCTTCTTGAACAAGTTGCAGTAGTACATGAAAACTCAGCTGCTCCACATGCAGTGTTGTACTTTGACCAGTTTCAAGACGAATAGTTAATGCTATGGTGTACACATAGCATACGCTTTATATGACAAGTGGATCACGGTTATACAAAAACCAAACTTGGCTTTTAAGCGCTTGGATAGAATTTTTACAAACTTATGACATAATCTGCTATAAGAATATGCTTTTGTATGATAAATATTTCATACCATCTTTCTAAAAATATCTTACTTAGATACAAATTGTCACAGCAGTATTTTTATGAAAATGATGTATTTTAATACTGTTATGGTTTGTATACAGTTACTCATGACCAAAAGTTTAATGTTTTTACTATTTTACTTAAACTACACCACTTCAGCATTAATTTCTAATTGCAGATTTTATTTTGCACACCCTGATAGATAGCGTTTCTAATCCATAAATCAGTTAAGTGGCCATTCTTACACTAAATTATCTTAACTATTTAGCCTGGAACACTGTAGTTTCTTGGAACCATGTAAACTGGTAACTCTGATAACTATCCCATGACTGCAAATATGTATTTTTGTAAAAGAAAATAAAGGGTTTGGTTTTTAATTTTTTTTTTTTTTCCTTTGGAAGTTACATGACTTGGATGATGGGTTTATTTGGTTGATTTTCTCCTCTTCTGGGTAAGCAAACACACTGTAAGAGGCTGCTTTTTTGTTTGACTTGAAGAAGCTTTACCCCTTTGGTGACCAGAAATACCTGATGTGATAGGGTAGTGTTGAAGTTTGATCATGCATCATGATTGTAGTATGATAGAGCTGCAGGATCCTCAAGAAAGCAAATGGCAGGGACTGGTTTCCAAGCAGAATTAGCTTATCTTCAGTCTATTTCCTGTACACATCTGAGAGGCCCTTGAGAAACATGGTAGTGGGAAGTATCCTGCAAGCAAAACCTAATTCAGGTTTCTTTTAATGGAGTTGGTATTCATTTAAATCCCTCAAGAATTTGATGCTTAAACAGCATTCAAATCTGTATGTACGTAAACGCACATGTTGTTTAGACCAAGACAGGATAAAGACCCTAAGTGAGAGAGAACACCTGGATGATTCTAGGGGTCCTAGAAAAGAGGTAGCAGCTGTTCAGTAAAGGAATGCTTAAAGGGCCCCAGGTGGGTCGTCAGAAGAAGTTAGGACTGCCTCACTTAGTGTATCAGGACAGTGAAATGTCATAAGCTCTTGGACAGAGCAAATTTTTTTTAAACAATGTAAAAATAATGCCAAGAACCAAAACCTGAGAGGAAGTTCAGTAAAAGATGGAAGAGGTGCAGCTAGTCCTTGAACAGTGTCTACATCCTTGATAGGAGTCAACAGTATGTTATGAATAATAGTTACATATGACTATACAGAGCAACCACTTGTGTTCATGTTGAATACTCCAAAAGCAAATGTTTGTTAGACTGTACTCAAACAACTGAAATAATCGAAGGTATCTATTCATGACCTAGCTACAGTGAGAACCTATTCATGACCTGGCTATAGTGAGAACATGCCAGCTTGGAGGTCTTAGAGAGTAACTTCAAAAAGAGTCCTCCACATACTTTGTAGTACACTTTATCTCAGCTAAATTGAGGAAACTTGAGCTTTCCTGGCCAAAAAAAGTATAAATACTGAGTGCTCTGAATAGAAAACAGGTTAAGTGTTGGAAACATAGAACCGGATCCATTAAGACTATCAGGAAACTGGTATCTAATAGTGGATCAGGATCGTACTAACATCTTGGGCACTAACTAGATTAAGTTAAAACATGACTTACGTGAAAGTTATATTTTATTAAAATGTAACTTTTAATTTGAAACAGATTTTTGGTTCAGAAGAACATAACCTAAAACTTGGGTTAGACTTTCAACATGACAGGTAAAAAAGGAACAGCCAGAGTCTCACTAACAGAAGTCTTATGTTAGGAGCTGGTTCAGGACTGTCTCTTTATCAAGACCATTAAAGACGTTTTTCTTTAATGGAGGATAAATAGCTTCTGTTTGAAAAAAAATGTTTGGAAACTATGCCAGGACACAAGAGCAATGAGCACTGAAGAGTTTTAGGGCTTTTGATTGAACGAATGCTCCCTGGTGTGAGGCAGCTCAGTCACTTAAGCATTAAACGCAGCTCATCATATGTTGCCCTGATTTAATTATCACCATGCTGTGGGCTTCTTTCAGTAGCTGTGAAAGGAGCTGTTACAGCTGGTTATGAAATCAAACACTCCTCTCCAGAAATAGTGTGTTTCTAATAAACGAGGGCTTGTTTCAGTTGTATTCCTGCATTACTTCTCTCTATCTGCCTGCTGCTTCCTGGCCGAGGAGCCGTGTGCTGGTTTGGTGCCAGGTTCACACTAGGGTTGGCCTTGATGCTGCAGAGCACAGAAACAATGTGAGCAGAAGATCCTACGGTAATGGGTGTTCCTGTGATAGAGCTTTTGGGGGTTGGGGTGGTTTGATTCTTCAATCATCCGGTGCTGTTGCTACCATGGTGTATTTGGGCGGGTCTCTGAGGAGTCGTTTTACTGTGAACCCCCTGCTTTTCTCTCGTGCTCTCAGCTGTCCTGCGGCAGCAGAGCCTGCCGGCCGCCCTGCCTCAGCCGAAGCGCCGAGGGACCAGAAACTGCACTGGGGCTTAGGGGGAGCGGGGCGGCGCTGGGCCTCGGCCCTCGGAGCCGCCGGGCTCCCGCCGCATTGCACTTCCCGTCCCGCCGCGCTGCGCTGCGCCTGTGTCTGCCGGACCCCGCGGCGAGGCGGGGCCGAAGAGCTCGACTACATCCCCCGGCGTGCGCTGGGGAGCGCGGCGCGGCGCCTGCCGGGAGCTGCAGTCCCGCTGCCGTGTGGCGAGGGGCGGTTCCGCGGCCGGGGGATGTGGCGAGCGTGACGTGAGTCTGTCCGCGTTGGAGCCGGGGCGGCCGTGGAGAGCGTGACGTGGCAGAGAGCGAGCGAGGGAGGCTCCCGGTCACAGCGCCGCGGCTGCCGCTGTTGCCGCTGTGCTCTATCAGTCGGTGCCGCCGCAGCCTCCGCCCGCGGAGGGATCCGCGAGTGCAGCCGGGAGCCGGGCCGCGCTCCCTCCTTCCCTCCCTCCCGCTGCCTGTGCCGCCGCCCAGCCTTGCGCCGGAGCCGCCATGGGCCTCACCATCTCCTCGCTTTTCTCACGCCTCTTCGGCAAGAAGCAGATGCGCATTCTCATGGGTAAGGGTCGGCAGCGGCTCCCCGCAGCCCTGGCGCCGCGGTTGGTGCGGCCGCCGCCAGGCCCGCCCGCTCCTTCGCGGCCGCGTCCCGCTGGCGATGGGGGAGGGGAGGCCGGTGTGGGGGGTGCGGGCTCCAGGCGGGGGGAGTTGCCCCGTCCCGGGTCGTGGGGGATAGGGAACGCTGTCCCCGTTCCGTCGGGCCTGTGGGGCGGTCGGGAAGCGAAGGAGCGGAGGGGAGAGAAGGAGCAGCGGGGGAAGGGGTGTGGATCCGGATATATCGGCCCTTCCTTCTCCGTCGCGTTCCCGTCTTCTGCCCCCTCCCGGTCCCGCTGCTGGGGTTCGCGGCCGCGCTGACGGGCAGTGCCGGAGCCCCTCGCCTCGGGGGCCGGGCGGGCAGCCTCAGCCCCTGCGCCCTGCACCTGCGTTTCCGCTTGCGCCGGGAGCAGGACGTAGAACAAAGATCAAATTGCGGGAGGCGCAGCCGGTGCCCGCCCGCCCGCCCGCCGCGGCAGAGCGGCCGGAGGGGGAGGGAGCCCCTGACCGGGAGCCGAGCGGGATCGCGGCCGTGCTGTCGGTTCCTGCCCCCGAGCAGTGCCGTTCCTCGAGCAGGATCTGACAAAGCCCGGGGTGTTTAACGCCACGAGCTTCAGGATTTACCTTATGGCAGGCTTTCGGTAGCAGCGGTGTCTGTCTGACTCCTGTGAAAGGTGGTTTTGGTATAGCATCTATGCATTTTAATTCTCCTGTAAATCGTGTACAAACCCATCAAGTCCTGTGGGTGTCTTTTCCAGTGCTTAGTTTTACTGTCTGTCCATAATTATTTATTTAGAATTAAATTCTGGTTCTCTTGACACAGACCGTGTAAGAGTTGAAGCGAGTGGCTCTTGAAGATTCTCACTTTAAGGTTGTGGTTCAAAAGGTCAAAGCAAGCACATACTGCATCTGGTATTTCCTCCTCCACTGCAGCTCTGCCCTGCCTTCTTCCACCCACCTTCCCTCCTGCGCCAGCGTTAGGTACAGACAGGTCCTAACCCCAACATTTGTCTCAGATTCTGCCACCAAAGTGCATGGAACTTGATTTGGGGCCATTCACTGAAATAGCGTGTCCTAAGAAATTATATGGAGTGCTGCTTTCAATATGGGCAGTAAAGGGACTGGCTCCTAGCAGTTGGAACTTCTTGGCACACTACTCAGCTCTGCCTGTGTATGCACAGCCGACACAATAACATAGCTTTTTTTAATTACAATTTTCCATATTCTCCGTATGCTTTGTGATGACAGAGCTCTTTATTGCAGGCACAGTAATACTTATTTTATCTTCTCTGGTTGAAATTAGAGACTCTCATCCATTTCAAAATAACCCCAGTAGTTTTTGTCTTTGAGACAACTTGGTACATCTTTTGATTTCAAGGAATAGTTTTGACTGTCTCCCTAGCAGCCAGACTCTTCGTATAACTCTAAATGAATAAAAGTCAGATCTTCAGATGAGCTTGCCTGTAGGATGAGATAGCATCTCTGGTATTTGTAGTTCTGTTTCATTCTGCAGAATAATGAACACAGAAAAGCAACATCATACAGATCAAAAGAGCTTGCAAGGCTTTCATTTCTTCACTGGTGGGGTATCAGTTCAAATTTAGGTTAGATGTGAGTTAGGGAGCTGTGCTTTCCACCAGTTGGTTCAAATGCTGCTTTTCTTAAATATAATTTTTAAGGCATTATACTAAAATACAGGGCTGGATGAGACCATGGGACTGCACCAGATTTGTTCTCTAGTACAAGAGGTTAAAACTTCTGCTGCATTGTCATGAGAGTGTAGCATAGGACCTAAACTGCATGTTTAGAAGCAGAATGTGGTTTATTGGATATGACATAATTAGTTTGTACCTGTAAATTGGAAGAAAGTTCTTCATGGCATTTTGAGGAGAGATGCCTGAATGAATACAGGGGCTGAATTAAACTTTCCCTCAAGGTGGTAAGTTGCAGTTTATGGTTTGAAACTGAGCTGTACAACATTAGGCGTGTAAGTTTTTGCGTGTACTGTATCAATGAAATAGCTTTATGGGGTAAGGTGTTTATGGAGAAATATGTAGGGGGAAATAGTATATGGGTGAGTTGGTAATGAACAGATGATTAATTTATAATTCAGAGTTCTCTTTCACAGCTTTCTCCTGTTTCTGCAGAATTCAAGTTAAAGTAGAATTAATTTAGCTCTTAGGACAGACTTTGTGTTATTGCATTGTGCAGAGTTTTATTTCTCATCAGATACTAACCAACAGCAAACCTGACAAACTTATGTTTTTATTCCCAAACTACACTTATTATAAAGGGTAGACATTTAGTGGAATGCTGTTACCGAACTTCTGTCTTTTAAAAAATGCTTGTGTACAAATTCCATGTTTTTCAGAAATACTGAGTTAACATTCTGAGGAACTGCATGTAAAATAATTCTTGTGCCATCTTTATAGATGAACGTAACATGAAGGAGAAGAAATAACTGTAGGGTAGGATTGGATGACTTGAAGTTAGGCAACCCCAGGGCATTAGAATGGAAAAATTGAGTCCTAACTGTACATGTACCTGTCTGGAAAATTCTTCACTTACAGTTTCTTGTGCTTAGAAAAGAAGTTATTATTTCACTGTGTACCTTTCATTATCATAATTTAGTGTTCTGTGCCTTGGTATAGTTGTGCAAGCGCTATTCAGGAGCTTCAAGTACAGTTGTAGTTGTTAAATGCATAGGGGGAAAAAAGGTGAGATTCTTTGGAAATTGTGTCACTGTACAGCACAAAATTACTTAGCTGCTTTTTACTTGGTTTTAATTTTTAACCCCCGTTTGTTTGTGTGGTTTTGGGTTTTTTTGTGCGTGTGTTCCTGAGAAACTGTGTTGAGAATCGCCCTTTTGTGTCCCCCAAAGACTTACCCAATCGAAATGAAACCTGACAGAGAAATAGCATATAAAGGATCAATTTGAGAGAACTGGTTTTAAGGTAAAAGAAAAACTAAGGAATACAAACCTGTATTAAATTGGGATTTGTTAATTTTATGGTTTTTAAGCTGGCTTTTGATTGTAACATGAATGTCATGAATCCATTAAATACCCCTTTTATCATTATGGGACACACTCATTTTGGAAGCACTAACATGCTGTGTTCTATAGTAAGCTTTAGAAAGATCAATCTGACAAAGTTTTGGTCTTGATGGGGGTTCTATTTAAAAGTAAATTCTCTATATGAAGTTCTGTGCTGTGGTAACTGAGGTGCCTTGATACTAACTCAGGCAGCCATGATCAAAGTAGGAAGTTGGTAAATGAGGAATGCCATGTGGTCACAGGGGTGGTGTCCCAGGGACGAGTGAACTGCAGGCTCGAGATCCAGAAACACGACTGACAAGCTGTGAATAAAACTCTTTAAGAGTAGGAAAGGGCTTAGAACCACGATGGTTTAACAGCAGATGAAAGCATTGTAGATACTCTTTTTTTCTTCAGCTAGAGGAAGAGGATGTTTGACTTGGTTTAAAGATAAATGTCTGCAAGTGCAAGTCTGTGCTTCCCACTTGCACTTCATTGTAATCTTTCTACTTTGTGGTACAGCTGCTGAGCACCAGACCTTACATTTAGATTCTTACACCTTGGGCTTGGCAGTGGTCAGTAAGGCAGTAGAATCAGAGTGAAAAAGCAGATTCATAAATGTACTTTGCATTATTTGGGCACATAAAATGTGGGTTTTAATCCCGAGAGTTAAGTAAATTACAACTTTCTGACATGGAAGTAGCTCATGGATTTACATTTAGTGTTCCAGTACAAATGTAAACACGCATTTATTTTTGGACCACTAAAAGCAATAGTTACAGTTCCTAGCAGCTAAAACGATTAAATGTGATTTGCTTCAAATGCGAAGAAATTTCTTGTTCTTAAAAGGGTGGTAAATGGAAAATTCTGCTAAGAAGTATTAATGGAGGTTATGCTTTTGAGGCAATTGCTGGCTCAGACATTTGCAATTTGGCTAAAAAAGGCAGTTTTTGCAAATGTGGTCATAGTGATTTGCAAAAGCTGCCTTCCCTCAGTTAAAAGCTGTTGTCTCAAGTGTGGAGTCAGAAGAAGAGAGCCCGTATCTATAACTCAGCCTCCCTCAGTGCAAAGTCCAACAGCTTAATCAGAATTGTGGCTAAGAGTGGATTTAAGCAAAGTCTCTGGGCTTTGTGCTTACATAGCTGAGGTAGTCTTCTGCCAACACAGTGGAGGTGTCAGTGGGTCCTGGTTCAAGAGCACAGTGGATAATTGGGGCACGGATTTCTTCTATTTGGCAAAGAGTTTAAAATTCCTGACTAGTTTCTAATGTCATAACTCTGAGTCGTATCTTCAAATGGTTCTCGACACCCTGTGTATGTTCTTGGAAATGAGATGAGCTTTTTTCTTTTTCTTTGTCTGTATCTTCAGTATAACCCCTGAACACACTAAAACCACTTGTGCAGGTAATGCCATCTTTTGTTGCTATTTTTAACAAATCTTGTTAACAAACAGTGTTTGTTCTACTGATAACTGGTTTGGGTGTGGGAGAAGAGTTCGTGAGTATGTGTAGCGTTAATTCAGTAAGCAATCTTGATGCTATTTTACTGGAAAACTGTCACATATGTATCATGTACATACATTATGCTGTAAAGACATAGACATCCTACAAATCCCCACTTGAAGCTGAGCTGTGTGAGGATAGTGTTGGGTTTCAGGCATTGTGCTATTCAAAACATTGTTTTCAGTGTACATGGAGTATTTGAGGGTTTCAGAGGTCACTTGAAAGGTTTTCTAAGGCTATCTGAGACTTCATTGGTGTAAGGAAAATGCCAACATTTACAAGATTCATGATTTTCAAGCTCTTGTGAAACTTCTGCTGTACCATGTTCATTATTGTGTGTGGTTCTGAAAGAGACCAACACCGAGACAATAGCAAACTTAAAACTGTTACATTTTCATTTGAGCATTTGGTTTGGATGGTAGAGGTTTGGGTTTTTTTTCTTTTCTCTTATTTTATGATATTAACAATTATTCCAACTCACAGATGAGGCCCTCAGTAATATGGTTTAGTGGTGGTCTTAGCAGTCCTGGGGTAATGATTGGACTTGATGATCCTAAAGGTCTTTCCCAACCTAGTTGGTTCTGTGGTTCTATGATAATATCAAAGAAACTCTGTTGGCATCCTGTTGACACTATCAGAATATAGGACAATTATGGATAGCTATTCTAATTAGTTTGCTGTCACAGCAGTTTTTGTTTTGAGAAAGAGGAGGCTTTTTAAGAGTTTGGTTTCACTCTGATTAAGTAGGTAATTTTGAATTCCATTTTATTGCAGTGCTAAGGAAACAGTTGTATTATTAATAGTCAAGTCATCAAACCGCTTAAAGCTTAATATATTGCAGTCACCAAGTAGAAAATTAACTTGCAACACTTAATGTTGGCAGACAAGGATAACGTTTGGTTTCTTGTGCAAGCATTAGTTAATTAATTCTTCAGTGGTTATTTTTGTTTCAGCAAAGTTGTATTGATTATTTCAAGTTTCACAACTAGATATTTTATTCAAACTGTTGTGGTGGTGTTTGGAACCTACTGTTTATTTAGGTGCTTATGTGCTAGGCATTGGATCCTAACATAAGGAATTGTATTTTGAGTTGCTCTTATGTGTTCTGAAATGCCTAACAATAAGCAGTTGCGTAGCCAATTTCAGAAAACTCCAGTGTGCCCCTGCAATACTGGCGATGCTCGGTTTATTATTGGCAATGAGGCTTCAGTTTATTTTTCCTGTAATTTTTTTAAGGATCACATATTTTCCACGTAACTTACATTGAAAACCAGCAAGTTTAAGTTTTGTTGTAGAAACAGAAGAGCAAATTTCAGTGCAGAAGGCAGCCTATAAAGATCAAAAGTGGAGACTCCTAAGGAAAGCATCCTGGTAGATCTCCATGAATGGAAGTGATGTCCTGAAGACTTACAGCCCTTAAGGTGTATGCAGAGGGAGAGCAGAGTTCCCTAATGTCTGTGTTTCTGTCAGTGTGAAAGAAATGCTTTAGCAAAGGTACAAGAGACTGAAAGCGGGAGGCTGAAGTGTCTTCCATTGGTAGTGCAGCTCCTGTTGGTTCAGGTGCCTGTGAAACTCCCCAATTTGAGTATGAAGTAGCAAATGCGTGATCAATTAGAGATTAGGTGCTGACTGTAGATTGTTGCTCAGCATTTGAAACTGTCCTGGCATACACAGCAGAATCTTTCAAAGTGAATGATAAAACTCAGTTAAGCAACACGAACACTAGGGAAGATGACAAGAAACTTGTGAGTTGTGCATGAAAGTGTGTTACTGAGCTTTTCTTCTTCACTGCTTGTTGTCTTTCAGTGCTGGGTAGAGGAGATGGAGAGAAACACACGATAGTGTATCAGCAATGACTTGGAGTGTTTAAAAAGCTGTTTCTTCTCAGGAAAAAAAAAAAAAAAACAATGCTCTGTACATAAAATGGCACATCTTTAACTTAAGAGGTTGTAGTTCATGTTCAAATTTTCTGTTTGTTCTAGTTGGTTTGGATGCTGCTGGCAAAACAACTATTCTTTATAAACTGAAACTAGGAGAAATTGTCACCACAATTCCAACTATCGGTAAGATAATCAATTGTTATGTCTTCATTCTTATTACTTTAAGTTTGTGTTTTAGAGATAGGCATTTGTGATCTTTGCTGTTAGTATAAAAACTGAGACAAACACGGGCTTTCTGGTGCTGCCATAACAACTGTGTCAGACGAAAGATTTATCTAGATGAGAATCCTGTGTCCGACAGTGGCCAGGAACCAATGCTCAGTTAAGCACAGGAGCCAGTTAAGCAGCAGTACTTCTCCCAGACATGAGCATCGTAGTTTGTGACTGAAAGATTTGCTCAATCAAAGGTGGTATACTTGAATTTAAGTGGTTAATTTTTTTTTCTCCTCTTGAGTTGATTTTCTTCTTGCTCCAGCAATTCAGTTTTGATAAGCCATGTTATATACGCTCAGGAGAAGCGTAACTTGGGAAGTAGATATCTTTCACATGGTTGGAATTACATTTTAACACTGGCATTAACTATTTATAATGATTTAACTCTTTTTATTTTTAGGTTTCAATGTGGAAACGGTAGAATACAAAAACATTTGTTTCACAGTTTGGGATGTTGGTGGTCAAGACAAAATAAGACCTCTTTGGAGGCATTATTTCCAAAACACACAGGTAAGAGTTCGGAGATGGCAGTAGATAAAGACCTGTTTTGTAAAGTCTCATTATGTTCTGTAGAGTGTAAATGGAAACTTGTTTCCTGTCCCTTCCTTTCAGAAAGGCTCTTTACTTCCTGTAAGTGTTGAGGGACACATAGAATTTATTCTACTTGAAGCTAGTTTGTTACCCTGAAGGCTTAGAGTCTAGTCACGTTTGTAGCATGGCAAGGATGAAATCCTTTAGGCTCTACCAGTATTCTGTAATGGGCCAGAGCTGCTGGATTGTTGTGAGGAACTCTTGAACTTTGCTGTATCCATCCTTCAATTATTTTGAGCTGGCATTAGATTATACTATTGCTTAAACACCCTTCTACATACTCTTTTTTTAATAATCATCTTTAAAATATACAGCTATTGCTTGCTCTATCAGTGTGTTTAGTATGCTGAGTATCAAAAATTATCATGAAATACCTTGTTATTGATTAGAACGTGTCAGCTTCATATTGATGTGACTGCTGACATTTTTGGTGACATAAATGTGGTTCTTCAGCTTACAAGTAGTAAGTTAAGTTGCTTATTAGTATCAGGAAGCTTTGGGAGTGGGTGGGGTTTTGGTGGAAGAACAGAGGTTGGGGTTTGTTTCTTGCTTTTGGGGTGGTGGTGTTGAGGGGTTTTATGTGTTGAGTCTAAAGTTGTTTCCAAGAAACTTCTGTGCAGCCTAATGCATAGTTGGTGCAGTAAAATGGAGAAGTCTGGGTTGACAGAAAGGAGCTAGCAAAGTGCTGTTGTGAATACAGTAATAGTTAATTTCAGTTCCTTATTTAACCCCCTTATTATTTTTAACAGATGCTTTTCTTTTCTTAAAGACAATGAGAAAATGTGAAGTTTTCAGGCTGAGTTACATACTAATCTGTAAACCGACATCTGTGGGTTTATGCTTCTTTAATTTAAAAGGCCTTTAGAAGATTTTTTTACAGTTGAAAGCTGTTATTTAGTTGTTTAGACAGTCATCTTGCATTGCTTAAACAGAGGAGGCAGTCACAGGATTCAGTTTTGGGGGTTTTTGGGTTTAAAGAGTACTGTAAATAGTAAATATGTCAATGTTTACATTGATTTTTTTTCAAATCTTCATAACTTCTTACAGGGCCTCATTTTTGTGGTAGACAGCAATGACAGAGAGAGAATCCAGGAAGCTGCAGAAGAGTTGCAGAAAATGGTAAGTATCAGTGCCTTCTGAAGTAAGATTATACTCTGTCATAGTTTTGGGTGTTCATCAGCTTCCCTAAGAGATGTAGGGTTTGAAAATTCCAGAGCACTTGTACAGTACATACTGCATCCACCAGGTAATTCTGGTTCACATAAGTGTGCTAAGTTGTAACTACAGCTGTGTAGAGAATTTTAGCTCAAAAGCTACTGTGTCAGGACTTTTCTTCATAAAACCTTAATGGAACAGATCAGGAATTTTTGAAAAACAAATAGTTGTGAAGAATTTCAGCAGCAAAGTGCCCATAAATTGAAACTTCCTTCATTCATTGTAGGAGAAGTTCTGTTGGATGCTAGTTAAATTTCACTCAGTACTTGCTCGTGACTTCAGAAGCAAGAATGAAAATGTTTATAACTCTTCAATCAGGTTTCTTTAGTGACTGTTGAAGCCAAAAATGTATTCAACTGAGCTTATAACGACTATTTTTTCTGTAGCTTCAGGAGGATGAGCTGCGAGATGCCGTGCTGCTTCTGTTTGCGAACAAGCAGGATCTGCCAAATGCCATGGCAATCAGTGAAATGACAGATAAACTAGGTCTTCAGTCTCTGCGTAACAGAACTGTAAGTGCTAAACTTCCTTGGTGATGAACTCTTGTTTTCCTTTATTATAGATCGTAAACATAAGTTTGTAAGACTTTGTAGTTAATAGTTTATGGTCTTTGTTCAAAATAAGTGATTTAGGAGCACAATCCAGTGTGTTCAGTTGTTGCAGGTGTTTCATGTCTTGCCTTTTCCTGGAAAACAGTACAAATTTTCCTGTCTGTCACTGAAATGTTTGACAGAGCAGGTGGTGGCCTTTTCCATTTCTCAGTATTTGTTCTTCTGGAGGAGAAAATTCATTCTGCATTCTTACCACTACAAAGATGGGGGGAAATTAAGTAGCTTCTGAATTGTTACATTCCATCTGCACACACCTCTGAGACATGGGGTTGCTTCACCAAACCATCTAGCCTTCTGTAATACTCACCTGATGTCTCTGTGTGTTGACACACGAAGATTATATCCATAATAGATGTTGTAGACCTCTGTTCATTTAGATATTTCGTGTCCATTTCCCGAAATGGAAAGCAGTCTTTCAAAAGCAACAAACCAGTTTTCAGCTCGTAAACTAAGTGCAGGTTCAGTATTTGGTTTTTGATGCCCTAAACAGTGTTCTGGCATTTGGTAGGCCAACACTGAGTTTCTGGATAAAGCCTGAACCCCATCTATTTTATATATACTTCTCAGCGTTTTTAAAAATACCATCTGTTCAGTATTGACTCCACTTCTGGCACAGGGAACACGATTTGAGTGTGTGTGAGTGTGAGTGTCACATGCTGTGATAACTTAGCTTGCTGTTTGTCAGTATTAAATTGAATTTTTGTTTGTGTTCTGCATTAACAGTGGTATGTCCAGGCTACCTGTGCTACACAAGGAACTGGTCTGTATGAGGGACTTGACTGGCTGTCAAATGAACTCTCAAAACGCTAACTCAAACTGGATGACTTTCACCAGGGACATGTTTGATATAAGTGGTCTAGGCTTGTTACAACAAAACTAGTTTGCATCTTGGTTATTACAGTATCTGGAACTGATATTTGGGCAGAATATTACAGCGTTTCAACTTATTTTGTTGCCAATTATTGCTTACCGAGCTACATGTTGCAAAGGTAGCAATATGCTTGGGTAAAAATCTCCTTACCTTGGAAAAAGTGTATCTTCTGATTTTATTGCCCTTGTTAGCCTAAATGCCTGAATATAGTTATTGTGACATCTTTAAGATCTGTTTCAAATATTCTTTTGAGCCCCAATAAATTAATGTTTTAATTTTTTTTCTTCCCTGCTACTTTTAGTTTACTGATGCCCTGTTTCATTCCTCAGACAGTCTGCTGATTTCAAAATGTAGCATTCCGTATGTATTTATTTCTCTCCCTTGCCAAAAAGAATTCCTAATACAGCTTGTTCCAGCCAAGGAAATGCTCTAAAACACTATATCAGTCTACTGCACTGAGGAACATTTTATTAATCCTTGGGATCTGTCAGCCCAACTTGCCTTTGTGTGAATTGGATTTGATGGGTAGAATAGTTCTGTGCTGGTTGCGAAGAGCTCATGTTGAGGTTGTTTTTAATATTCAGCAGATTGTCTTCCTTTATATCGTATCTTTTTTTATGTTGCATGTTGCTTTTTGGTATCAGCCTGACTATTTTTGCCCAGTGTATAATAGTTCTGCTGAAGTTTTATTGTTTGTTGGTGAACATATCTTCATAAGGAAATTTTGGAAATTCATCAGACTCAATGGATTAGTTTCTTCATAACCCACTTGGAATTATTCCTAATAAAATGATAAAATGTATAGTTCTGAGTATGCTCTTCTTGATTCCTGAAATGATTGAACTGTAACTTGTCACTTATTCTTTTTCCATATACTGAGCTTTCCTGCAGCTTGAATGTGAACATCAGTCTTGGATTTTCTCGTGTTCAGAGCTACATAGAGCAGGACATGGAAAGTAGGCAACAAAGTTGTATACAGTGCAGTAGGGTAGCTGTCAGCAAGACATAGAATTCTGTGTCTTTCAAAGTTGTAAATCTAAAGTTCTTTTTAAAATGTCCAGATATTAAAATACTAACAATTACAAAAATTGTAATAAAACAAGTACCAACTGCCTGGAAAGCATGCATGTCTGTTTCCTAGTTGTATCTACGTTTGAAAACCGTTGTGGGTTCTAGCAGGAGAATCGCACATTCTGTTCGTGGCTCACTGGGAAGCTAACTTGAACACTGGTACAGGAATTTAGTCAATATTCTATTCATGGTCATAGTCACCCCAAAAAATCAGCACTGTGCAGCTGCTGCTGTCTGCTTTCGTATTTCTGCCCCCTTATACTTCTATAGTTCAAAGGTCAAAATTAATGTTGTTTTTTTGAGGCTGCTCCTATTGGATATTTTAGTATCTGTTTTTCTGTTGCCTGCCTTGCTATATGAATGCAAATCTGGCTCAGTCCTTCAGCTGAAATACTCTGTTCTATGGGTTGCAGGTCTTGATAAACCCGAAGCGTGGTTTCATTGCAGTTTCACCCTATGCTTCTCTATTACTTTTAGTCCAACTCTTGTTATCCTTGCTATGAGGAGTCCCAGTGATAAGGTCTGGTAAACTCAAGCCAGTTAAGAGCATCTTCCAAGGCAGCTTCTGCTGTAACAGGTTTAAGTTTCTAGGAAGTAGTTACTGTGAACACAGCTAACCAGAGAAAATGCCAGAGTGGTTGAATACGGTTGTTATCTGTCTTAGTATGTAACAGAAACCCAGGAGACAGTGTAAGGGGAGTAGGGTTTTGCTTGTACTTCAATGAATTGCTGATTGTGTATTAACCAAAGTTGATCCATCATGCACTGGGTCAGTAACTGTTAATATGCATATTTCCAGCAATGCATTTCCTTGAAATAAACCTTAAAAAGAACACTTTGTTCAGAAGAGGCAGTTTGTCCCTAACAGATTGTATTGGGAGTCCTAGTAGGTTAAAATGAAACAATGTTTGTGACAAATGGAACACCATCTCCTCTTCCCCAGGAAGAAGTGAGAGGTAGACTTTAAATAAAAAAGCAGATAGAAACAAATTAGGCCAGGTATCTTGAAGGAAACATTTTGTTTGGTGGAGATGAAGATTTCATTGGTTTAATGATTTGAAAGGCTTTTAAGTAATTAAATACTTGGGTTTAGGTGAGCTTTGTTCAGCCACTACATTTTTGAGTTACAGTATATGTATAGAAGTTGGTATTTCACAGTCGCTGTGCCTGGCTTTTTACTAATAGGTTGTGGTTCTGCTGTAAAATGAGTAGTTTCCCTGAGTCAGTAATATAGATCTTGAGGTCCTGAGTCTGCATGAGAGGTTAAGGCTACAGCTGGCACTGAAGTGTAGTGAGACAAAGTCAATAAAGTTATTGAGTGTAATTGAGTACTCACTGTGGTGTTAATACAAGCAATGAGAGCAACTGGAGCAAGTGCTTCAATCTTCCTGTAAATGGTTAAGATCACACTTCTGATACTAAAACAATGTTTGCATCTTAGTATTGTCTGTACTAACTGTGCCTCTGTAAGGCTGTCTTGGAAGGAAGGTCTCTTGGTTCTGAGAGAAGCAGCTTATTCATAATAATAAGCTGTGAAAGGGACAAAAGACTTGATGAGCTCTGTGGAATAATGTCACAATTGACAGAAGTGAGTAACTTTTGCTCAGGTTGTTACATTCTCATCAGCTCTTCTCAAGTTTTCAAGGTACACTCTAGATTAAGTGTTCCTGATTGAAAGCACCAATCCCTGGGGTTAGTGCATGTGCTCGGTTGTGCTGTCTTCAGATGACAAACATGAAGCAGTTTGTTACTCCTGTTCTTACTGGATGTTGCTCTGAGCTGGAATCTTGGTGAGTTTCTTTTTCCTTTGCAGTTGGTGCTGCTTCTGTAGCTCTGGTGCTTTTCTGCTGGTACAAGAACAAATGTCGTCCTGATGACTTTTTTATTATTATGCTGCCTTATCTCTCTTAGTACCAGGACCGCATGCAGTGTTGAAATCCATATCCTAGCCCATTAATGTGGCTGTCTGTCAGTAAAGTCATTGGTTGTGGCAGTGATGCTTTATGGAACTGACCAAAATGATAACTTGTACGTTGGTCTTCTTACCTGAACACAGTGCAATTCTGCTTTAAAGGCACTGACTGTCATTTAAGACATTGTGGATAGGTAAAAATACTTGTTTGTTTGGGGTTTTTTTATGGCATTCTTTAAAATCATTGTTTCCTGGCAAGAGCAGTAACCGGTGACCTGTATGTACATTGCCTATCAGTAGGAACATATAATACAGCCCTGCTCTCCGGAGGCAGAGGAAATGCCTGTGAAGGTCCAATGTTCTCATGTCAGTTAAAGAGTTCAGATACTAACTTTATTTGTCATTTCTTTATCAGAAGTCAAATACCTGAACTGAGCTGTTGTCTTGGAAGTTCAAAATCTCAGACAGGTGCAAGACTGCTAAAATTTGTTCCTCATTCTACTGTAATGATGGGAAAAGCTGAGTTACAGTAGCTGGAATTTTCCATTGTGTAGCACCAGCTCCCGTATTCAAACAGCGGGTAAGTTGTTCTGCACTGGGAGGTCACTGTAGTCGTATTTATATACAGGAGTTTTTATTTCAGTGTATCAAACTGCCAGCTTAACTACAGAGAGCAAAGCACTGAAAAGATTCAGTAAGCTTCTTGCCCAATTTTGTGATGTGAAGGATATGGAGTATTCCAGTTGCTGGAAGAGGAATGCAGGTGAGTTTAGGTTTATGAAATAAAGTGGGAGACAAGCTCAGTGGGGCTTTTACAAATCTGGGTTCTAGAGGTGAGATAAAGAGGAAGAATTAATGGCTGGGCAAGGTCCAGATGTGCAGGGGAGCTAAAATAGGAGTTAAAATCACCTTATGTTTAATATGAAGCACCATACATTACCTCACATGGACATAAATGTAGTTTCGGAGCATGGGGGATATGGGTCCAAGGTGTACCTAAAGGTTGCTTTTCCTCCCCCAAATAAATCACAATTCTTTTGATTTGTGACTTTTTCCTAACCCAGGCCCTAGTGCTGCATTCCCACTGCAGAAAACAGTTCCTGGCAGTGCTGCTCTTGGCAGTCAGCCTGTACTGCTGCTGCATTTTCCTAATGAATGAAGGGTACTTTGACTGGAGAATCTCCAGCACTAGCTCATGGAGCTGCATTTCCTCCTGAAGATAGTGAAGGATTATCTGCCGTGTGCAAGGGCAATCTGATTTTACTGGGTCTGTTCCAGTAAATTTCCCTGACGCTTGCTTCCTGCAGATGCCAGCTTCCCCTGGGCTGCAAGGAGACAGAGGCTGCAACCCTAGTACCAAGACAGAGAGTGAGGGGACGTGCTGTTTCCTGGAAGGGAGACAATTCCAGGCAAGTCTATTCTCTGAGCTGCTCCATCTTCTGGTACTATGGAGAAGTTACAGGGGTTTAGTGTGTTTTGGAAAGTAAGATTAAGAAATCTGGTTGTAATGGATACGTAGTTAAAGAAGAGGAAAACACCACTTTAAAATTACAAGGGAAGCCCAGTTAGCCTATGCAAGTAATGCAACTTCACTTACAAGCTTAACAATTGCAGTCTTACTACTCTTAAGTGACTGAGACATTTCTCTTGCCAGTCTATCAGCCTGCATTACTCAGTGGCATTTAGTTGGACTTGCAAATTGTAGGCGGCCTCTGACTCAGCTGTGATGTAGTCATTTTCAGTTGTTTTCAAGGTGCTAACACTGCTTTTCTTCTTGAACAGATCTTCCAGTTATTTTTTCTGCCCTTTTAGATGTTGTATGCTCGGAAATGTTACATCTCTAGGTGTGAGCTTTCCCTCATTTACTACAAGAGTAAATAGTCTTTGCCCAGATAGATAAGAGGTTTACAGCCTCCATTCTGTTTGCAAGATTTTCTCCCCACTCCTGAATCTTGAAGTTTAGGAATGATTGATACTTCTATTATCAGTGTTGTAGCCTAGAAGAGTACAGACATCACATCCAACTCCTACACAAAATTAAATTACACTATACTTTTTAATTGGACTTAGAACAAAAACTGATCAAGGACCCACCTAAAGTATCTAGGGTCCAGTTTTACAGGGCGAATACTGTCCGTCACTCCATTGCAATGATGCATTGCATTACCAGTTCCATTGCCACATTCCTGGTTTTACTCCCACTTTTTATCCAAAGGCCCTTGCCTTGGCTAAACCACTGGTTTAGCAAAACTTAAAATCTGAAGGTTTACATAAAAGCGCGCCAAAGCCTGTTACAATAAATTCACACTCAATAACATCTTGTGTTATTGTGTTATTATGTTTTGTAGCAGATCTGCTAAGCAGTGAATACCTTACTCCAGGCAGTGATCCCTTGCGTCCACTTCCAAGCCTGGTCTTGCCCTTTGGCCACAGGAGGCTTTATGGTGAATATAAGCTCAGGACATGACAAGCCACTAAAATGAATACAGTTGAGAAATTAAAGGCCCTGTATTTTCAGCTGCCTCACTTCTGGTTTGGCTTGGTATGGCACAAGCAGGAACAAGTAGCCAGAACTCAGACACAGTAGAGCAGGATCAGGCAAGAGAGGCTGGGATGAGAAGATGGAAGGTTAACTGCTCATATTGCTTGAAAAAAAAAAAAAGATAGTTGCAAAGGACATTTAAATGAGACCTTTAATAATACAGGATTTTACTAACTCATGTATTAGTGGAACAGCCCTTTTGCCAATTTCCATTTACCTGTGTGCTTATGTGCAGTGGGTAAAAAAACTCTGGATAGTTCATGAGGTGTCATGTCCTGGGGAGATATGATTTATGGGCCTGTATCTCTTTAGCCTTGTACAACCTCAGAGGCTAAACCTGCCTGTGGGCTTTACCAGTGCAGTTGTTTATCTGCATCAATTTGTTAGATGCTCAGATACTCCAGTAACAAAAAACATTAGTAATTTTACTGGAAACTACATCTAAACAGCTGCTCTGTAGCCTTTTCTAAGCTCCTGCAAAGCATCACCCTTCACAATATAGCAGGTACTAGGGCAAGAGACAGGACTGATGACTCTCAGCAATACTCTATGGAACAGCGACTGCTTAGATTTAGTAGTATATAAACTGTTTAGTGAATCCCAGCCATACCCTACAGCCACCAGAACGGAGGTGAATAGTTGTGCAAAGACAGGGTACATAGCTTTTGTCAACCTGAGTGGACTTGTTTTGCCATGAATGACACCAGTAACTAGGAAAAGAATCAACTGACAACACAGACAATTGAAAAGGGAACTTTATTCAGGGAAGGAGGGAGACCCTGTGAAATGGTTTTGAAATTGTTTTTTCCATATGGACTAATGGATGCAGGGAAAGAAGCTGGTTAAATAGTTAAACCCTTCCAACACATTCAGTGAAGGTATGCATAAAATGCATCTCCCACATCCAAGTTATCTCCTAAAGAAGACCAGAATCCTTCTAGAAGGTAAAAAATGCAAATACAAACCCTACTAAAAATTCAGGTCACCTTTGTATGCAATAGAGCAACAAAATAGAATTGTGATAAAGGTTTGCAAGTCATTTTGAAGATTTAGGCACATACAGCTAATGCACCACATCAGCTATTCTGTATCTCGCCCCTGCTTGTCAATGATATTAAAGACTTCCCTCCCATCCAGAGCTGGCTGTCCTAAGATTTTGTATTTATTTCATTGCCAGTGATTGTAAACAACAGAAGGAACAGATGTTCACAGTAGAAGCAGTCCAATTTTACCAGGTGCTAGTTACCCTCACTACCCAACATGAAGTGGGCAAGCACAACACTTCCAAATCAGCTGTAACCTTGAATGTAACATGGTTGACTGTTGACAGAAAGCCTACTCACTGGTAATTTAAAGAACAGCTTTCCAGAAGGTAGTAGGTGCATGTACATTGTTCATGCCACTTAACAGAAAATTGGGCTACAGTTACGGTAAGTGAAAGAGAATTTCTGAACTTAACTTAGCTTTTAAAAACTGTCTTCTCATGACAGTAATTACACTGAGGCTGAAGCAACCAAACCCTTTTATTTTCATGTTCTGCCTTTGGTTCTGAATTAAGCAGGGTTGAGTTTGGACCCTCCTAAATCAGGTTTATGTATTTTTTTTTTTTACAAAAAAATTCTTAATCCTTTAAAAGCTCAAGTAAAAATGTGTATGATAATCCAATTTTCAACCCCCCCTGTTTTAAATATATTTTTTCCTATTAGCATATAAAAAGGGAAAGGAAAAAGTTGTCATGCAAATATTCTGAACAGTCTGATAATATTCAGTATAACCATTAAACACAGGAACTTTTCAGTGATCATTCTGAATTTCCTTTTAGTAGCATCAAGCCAGGGTGCAGCCTCAATTCCCCAGTATTAAATTTCTTGTTTGAAAACCACCAAAAGCACCATACACTTTATTTCCACTTCAAGTCACATATTAGTGCTATATGATCAGAAGGATGTGAAACACTTGGCAAAGCCTGATGGGTTGTTACTTCTTCGTGGCTTGGCAATGGAATGACCTGTTCAACCTCTAGGGAATTCCTGTCAATGAAAATGTAGTCCAGGCATCCATGAAACCCACCAACATAGTTTGTGTAAGCAGGTTCTCCACAAGCACTTAGCAGTTTGAAAGGATGGCTTAGAGGCATATTGCACTTTTCTTCTTCACCATTTGAAACCCAGTCCTCGTGATCTTCGGCAATGCTACCGCTGTTAATAAAACTGTAAGTTCCAGATGATGGTGTACTATTAAAATCTCCACAGAAAATGACTGGTATACTTGGATACAAGTCACATGCTACATGCTTGATGTGAGACAAGGCTACAGCAATTTGGACAAGACGGATGTGCCCACCTAAGAACATAAAAACATATTACTTTAAATATGTCACTGAAGCAGAGGAGGGCTTTCCCAAGTTGCTCATATCATATGTAGCTCCAAAACACCTCATTTAAATTTTCTGTGCACTACATTTTAGAAGTTTTCATAAGGAAGCTTTTGAAGTTTATGACTATGAAAGTTTTGGAGAGGCAGACAATGTTTTAATTTAAACTTGCACATGGATGAACTCTGAACCTTCAACACCCCATATTACAGCAGCTTTCCAGGCCATGGCAACAAACCTAATGATATTCCCGAAAAACATAGAACCATAAGAAAATGAAATTTAAAGAAGAATCTCTTCTAAAAGCTTCCATAGCCCAATCTGGTTGCTCTTTTGGCAATAAGCCAAGATAGCTACCTCAGGTACAATAGGTCTGGGAAGCCATGAGCACACACGACACCAGCTGTGTTTTATGGTCTACTCTTTGGGTGCATTGTGTGTAACACAACTTGTCTTGTTCTCAGCTGTATTCTTCTGACTCCCAGGGAGATGAGAACAATCTTGCTCTAAGGAAAATAAATAGACCTAGCAGCCTGGCTTTGATTCATGTAGATAAGCAGCAAAGGTTATAGCTGCAAAAAATGGGGGTAATCTCCCTGGGAAGGACAAAAACCTTTACAAACCCAGTTATCCTACATACAGGAACATGACAAAATTACCTTTTGGGTGCCAGTATAGATGGGTATTAGCTACACAAATCTTCCTGGAAGGATCACTTGTAGACTGAAGAACTGAAACCTTCAAGAGAAAAAGCAATTATTGGTAAGGCTTAACTACAGAGGTTAGGTTACACATTTTTAAAAATGCAATAGTTATCCTATTTCTTTGTGACAATCCAGTTCAAAGAACCTGATACTTATAACTACTCAATAATACAGCTCCTAAGTTGAATCTATTTATCTTCTATATAAAGTCTGGGTATCAGCCAATACATCCAGGTATTTGACAAATGTTGTTTTGCCCATAAGTGTCTGGTTCAGCTTATTTTTTGCTTCTATCCATTCCATATTTTGTCATAAGATGTTGCTAACACTGTAGTATTCTTGACTTTTATCTTCTATTCTCCCACCTCTGGTTTTAGCAAGCAAACTGTAGTACTGCACAGTTCAACTGAACATAAATTTAGAGGCCATTTCAGTTATCAAGGAAATCTTGTTACTCCTACTCAGCCCACGAATAGGAAGCTTTTACCAATGAGTGTTTCTGAAATCCCAGACACAGACCTGTGGCTTACGCGTCTGTATTTACAGAATAGCTCTGCTGGCAGACCCTGTGGAATCAAGAAGCTCACAAACCTGTCCAACCTTATTTCTCTCCCTACTGTCACAAATGGCACTATTAAAGCAAGCTGATTCTCATTTAGAACTTATTTACAAAGTTTATGAAATATATATGCTGACATAGGAGAGTAAGTAGTGAAAAACTTGGCAGCTAATACCACCAACATGGGTTCAAATCGTGGTCCAGAATCTCAACTGCTGTCTTCATCTGAAAGTGAGCAGTTCTGCCTTTTTTACCAAATTTTGGTAATGCCATATATCCAGTTCAGTAAAGACTCAGTATTTTGTTCTTGGTCCTAAGTTGCTCTTCTGCTGTATCTAGCTAACACAGAATATACCACTGTTCTATTTATGTTTAACGTTGTTTCTCCCTCACCTCCCTTCTCCTTGATCTGACACTCAACAAGCCTAACTTGGCTGCAACTGCCTGGAAGCAGTAGGAGAAAGAAAGAATGCATGTAAAAGCTGGCACCTGCAGTACAGATGACCTCTGCAGCACCTTCTCCTGCACCAAGGGGTACTTGGCCAGCTTATCACACAACACCTTGTGCACTGGGTCTGAGAGCAGGGCTTCGCTGAAAGCTATGTCATGCTGGCTTAGGAGGCTGAACTTGTCCCTACGGTAGAAAGTGGCCAGGCCTTCGTGCTGCTTCTCCTTAATCTTGAACAGCCCTTCGAGCCCAAAAGCATCCAGAGCTGGAGCCAAGCTGTCCACGAAGACGGATTTATCCACTTCTTGCAAGCAGATGAGGTCGGCGCTGTATCCCGCCAGCTCCTTCTTGAGCAGGTTCTGCCGATAGTCGAGCTCCAGGGCGTACGGGGCGCAGTACGGGTAGAGCACGGTGCGGGAGTACTCCGTCTGGGCGTAGATGTCGGCCAGGATGTTGTAGGTGACGGTGCGGACGGAGCCCTCTCCGCAGACCTTCCTGGTGTAGGCGTGCCGGGAGTCGAAGATGCAGGCGCCAGGACCAGCCTCTACGGGGCCGCTGCTCTCCACCTCGCGGGGCGGCCCGTACCGCTGCGCCCCGTCCCCGGGCGTGCACTGCAGCTTCAGCCGCAGCCCCACCAGCGCGTTGGAGGGGATGAAAACGCGCTCGACGACCGCCGTCTCTACCCAGTCTGGGCCATCACCGGCCGCCGACTCCCCGCCAGCCGAGGGCCGCTGTTCGCGGTACCAGCGGAAGAGGCAGTGCTGTGGCGCGGCGAACTCGGTGCTCACCTTGGGGCACACGGGGAAGCCGGCCAGCAGCGAGCGCGGCAGCCGGAGCTCGGTGAGCGCGGGCCGGTTGCGCTCCACGCGGTACCGCGCCTCCCCGATGTGCAGCACGGCGCCGTCCTGCCAGGCCGCCGCGTTGGGCACCTCTTCGGCCACCACCTCCCCATCGCAGGAGAAGAGCCGCACGGCCGGCTCCTCCGCCGGCGCCTCCTCGGCCGGGGCACCCGCCGCCCGCGCCTTCTTGCTCTTCTTCGCCGCCTTGGCGTTACCCTTGGCGGTGTTGGCGGCGATGCGGGCCAGCACCCGGCCCAGCGGCTCCGCCTTGTCCCGCTGCATGTGCCTGGCGCTGCCGTCGGGGAGCACGAGCCGCAGCGTCAGCTTAGGCTCGGAGGGCACACACCGCACCACGGCCCGCTCCATGGCGGGCGGCGCGGCGGGCGGCGCGAGGAGCCTCCCGAGGGCGGAGCGCAGCCGGCGCCACATGGAGCCGCGGCTTCCGCAACCTGCGCCCGGAAACGACGGGCCGCGAGCGACGGCCGGAAGGCAGGGGAAGTGCGCGGGGCCGCTCCGCGCCGCCTCAGGAGGGAGGTGCCTCGCTGAAGGGGCGGCCCCGCTGCGGCAGCGGCGGCAGGGGGAGGCGCGATCCGCCTTGCCTCTCTGGTGCGTGCTTGGCCCCGTTCTCAGCACGTAACCCTTCTGCACCGTGTAGGTGAAGCTGCTGGCATAAACCGCGGGGTTTGTCCCCTCAGCAGCCACATCCCGTCCCCTCAGGAAAGCCCTCACCCCCTCTGGTAAGCGGCAGCCGGGAAAGGGGATCGATCTCCCACGTAACTCGGTGCGAACGGCTTCTGGGTAAATCCCTTGGTATCAAAGGGGTTGGGTTTGTCGTCTGTGAGAAGATATTTCGTGTCTAGTTTGAAACTTCAGACTGAACAGTCCTGTGCTGTGAGAATGTGTGAGGAAGGTGCCCAGTGCTCCCGAAACCGCATCTGAAATTCTCTCCAAGCTGTTCTTGCGGCCTCTGCTTGTGGGGCACTGCCACGCAGGTACAAAATGAGGAGTTTCGGGTCTCTTAGTCAAATGTGGGCAAATGGATAGTCAGTCTCCGGAATTCCTTAGAAAGTAGCAGCCTACTAGAAGCTGAGCAGTAGCTGCCTGTTGCGTGATGGTGGTGTGATTCCTTAGGCATTCGTGCTGCCCTCTGGAGCAAAGTTTTTATCTGCTTTGTGCAGACAACGCTGGAGCAAAGACACTCACTGACTTCCTTGGGTTGTAGCAAGCCCTGTGGCAGACTAAAAAGTCTCTGCTGCTGTTTTCTTTTTCTCATCACAAGAGCCTACCCGTAGTCTGGTTCTGCACGGAGCGCGGCAAACACCCTTCTGTGAACAAACGGGTGCCGAATGAGAGCTCCGGTCTGGGCAGCAGGAGCCCGCCAGCACAAAGACCGCGGCCCCAGGCAGGGCGGGTCCGGCTGGGTCCCGAGCGACACGGCGCTGAGGGCTTGAGGGGGCGGGCGGGTCCCGCCCTCCGCTGCCTGGCAACCGTGGTGTTGTCCCGAGCGGGCTGCGCGCCGCCATCGTGCCTGGCGATCCCCCGCGACCGCGGCACCGGCAAAGATGGGGTGAGGTGAGGTGTGAGGTGAGGTGTGAGGTGAGGTGAGGTGTGAGGTGTGAGGTGTGAGGTGAGGTGTGAGGTGAGGTGAGGTGAGGTGAGGTGAGGTGAGGTGAGGTGAGGTGAGGTGTGAGGTGAGGTGAGGTGAGGTGAGGTGAGGTGAGGTGTGAGGTGAGGTGAGGTGAGGGGTGAGGTGTGAGGTGAGGTGAAGTGAGGTGAGGTGTGAGGTGTGAGGTGAGGTGAGGTGAGGTGAGGTGAGGTGAGGTAGGCGGGCGAGGGGCGGGGAGATGGCAGGGTCTGCCGCTCCTCATCCCTCCACACGCCCGGGCTCTGCTGGGCTGAGAGAGCTCTAGGAAAACGTGGTAGGGCCTCGTCTCCCTTTGAGCTTTATTTATTCGGGTGCCTCCACTACCGCCTGTTTTAATTCATTTCTAGGACATACTGCTAATATAGGAAGTGGCTTTGTCTTTCTTCTCCTCTGTGAGAACCTGTTGAAATGCAGTTGTCAGTTTGTGCATCGTGTTTCCAGGGTAACCCTGCTGTCAAGCTTTTGGGATAGCCATACTCGGCCACAAGCAAGACTTGAGATGCCATGGAAGGACAGTCTTTTAGTGAACCTGAGTCCAGTCACACACTAAGTTTTTGTTTTCCTTCTCTTCCCCATCTTCCCCCTATTTTTCTGTATTTATAGAAATGAAAAAGAGCTGGTAAATGGAAAAAAACGCAGGTTGCATCAATTAAAGTGATAACATTATTTTAAATATATTATTTGTAGTTTTTCTGCACATCTGACTCTCTGTTTTACTTCAGAATTGGTCAAGCTTTAAAAGCCTATCACGTGTCCATGCAAGAAAAACTCAACAGAAAACCTGTACCTCCTATCCCAGAACTGCCTTCCACTGTGAGAAAGTATTTCTGTAATATTTTAGCTGTTGCCTGTTCTTTGTTAATCTGGGCATTTATGGCTCTTACTTTGTAGTACTTACTCAAAGATATTTATCTCAATCCTTAGTAATTTATAAATGTATTTATGTGCTTAGGTAGTCCCATTGAAACTGATACCTGTATATCTACAGAATAAAGTCTTTGTTTAAGAATAATATTTGTTAAATTGTATATTTCTGATTTTTGTTTTTGTTTGTGTGTTCTTAACACGTAAGGATTTTCTGTTCCTTTTTATACAGATGAACAGTGAGCTAAAACAACAGATGGTGAGTTAAATTCTTCTGATTTTTAGAGTAGAAGAGTGAGTGTTCTCTATTCAGAAGGATTAGTGTGTTATCTGCAATGAATGTTGGTTAAACAGGAAGTGCTTTTTCAGTAGTCTTGTTGGGGAAAAATGGGATAGGAAGCAAAAGAGGAATCTCTTCTTGTGTTCCAGTGGAAGGAAAGTATTTTTCTATTACAGCAAGTATGCCCATTAGTAATTGAAGTTTGGCTCTAAAATCATGTAGTTCAAGATCATTACTTAGAAAAATCCTAACAGGTTTCAGGATTTTTTTAGTTCCACTGGGGTCATAGACAGTACTTTAGCTTGTAGAAAACTTAGTCCTTGACATTGTCCACCTGATTTGACAAACACCTACAGATCCTGGAATTTGTGTATAGCTTTTAAAATAAGACTTGATCTCCGAGAGCCACGTTAAACTCAGATTAGCACTGAAATGGTTGTATCTTTTTTCCTAGCTGATGTTAGGTTTTATTATGTTGGCAGGGAGGCCATTTTACCAACCGTAGAGTGACTTTTAGGGTACTAGTCAGTGAGTACTGAAAGATGAGACTATGTCACACATTACGTTTTTATTTTCCTTCTCTTCCCTGTCTTCCCCATCTTCCCCCTATTTTTCTATATTTATACAAGGTGATTATCAAACTTTGGTTGCTCACTGTCTTTAAGTGTGGTTACCCAATTATCTGCTCCACATATTTATCCTACCCCCAGACTAGGATTCTTACTTCAAGGCCATACCTGTTTCCACTTTGCTGTTGCACAGCTCAGCTACCTCACAAATGTGGTCATAATCAAAACTTTCATCTACTTAGCTGGAATCCCATGTCCATCCCACCAAATTACAAGCCGCCTTTTCGCTGTGAATCTGCACCCACAAGGCAGGGTTTAGCCACATACCCTCAGCCATGTTAGCACCTTGCTTGCCTCTTTCATTTTAGTAATCTCAGTTTAGTCTTTGCTGAATTCAGCCTTGGTTCTGAAGAAGACGCACATGTTGACGTACTTTAAGTGAATGTTACCTAGAAAGCCTAGAGTTGCTGCAGCTTAAAGTACTGTCAAGCATCTTCTTCGTATTTGCAGAGGCACTTGTTCTGGTAGCTCTGGTTTCCAGACAGGCAATTGAAATGAAATTATGCCCTACTCTGCCTTTGTGTCTGAATTTGTTCATATTACCTAGCATCATGGACTTAATGAGGCAGTAACTGTATTTTTAGTGACCAGACAAAAAGGGAGTCAATAGTCACCTGCTGAAGCCACAGGAACAGCTGGGCCCCATCAGAAAAGGAAATGTGCCTACATCAGAGCTAGTTCAGTGCAGTTTGCCAGTGGGGAGGAATTAACAAGATGCTATTCTGGTGTCTTCTGTACTATGCACAGCTGGTAGATTAGCAGTTGAAGAGATTTGTAATAGCACCTTGTTTTGATGCAACATGCTAATCTCGAGTTAATAGAACAGCACCATCATTTTCTACTATTGCGGACTTTGAATATACATATATTAGCATATACAGAGGTTTTCTGTTTTCTGAAAGCTAAACTTTCTTAGATTGTAGAAATCTCTTAGTACTTAGTACTAGTACATGCATCTGTTAAACTGCTTTCTGGACAGGATTAATTGTATTCTATAATCTTGGTTTTGTTACGGTTTTAGATGTTGCAGTCAGATGGAGCACATCCCCGTAAGACTTTGAGACCTTTGCTTCCTCCTACTGTTCTACCTTCATCATCCACATCTGATATGTCACCATCACAGAATAAACTATTGTCATACCGAAGATGCAAAGAGCAGCAAAAGAGGCTTAATCAGTTACTGTGAGTTTGATGGAATTCAAGAAATACCGAAATTCAAATCAAAGAATCAGTACATTTGACATCTAAGAAATAATGGTGTTTGTTAATTTTAGAGGTTTTTGATGTCACTATCGCAGTGCTGATCACTTTCCATCTAAAATCATTAATAGAAGAACATTTGATGGAATCTCTGATGAGTTTTCTTTTACAGCACCCAACATCTGCTTGAGATGTTTGTTGGGGTGAGTTGTGAGCAGAAAGCAACCTTCACATTTTGAATGTTGTTTATGATAGTCTGAAAAAAAATCCTTTCTCTTTATGAAAACCTTTTTCAAAGAGAATCAACGGCTGGATCACTTGCTTGGTTTTGTATGAATGACCCAAATGTGGGTCTACTTCTAACAACTTAGTTGGCACTATCACTATCTTAATGCATTTGCCACTGAGCTTAGTGATCTGGGTCACTGCCAGAGGAGCCCAGCTGCCCATCTTGGTAAATTCACATAAAATTGTCTTTCAAGATTTTCATTTGGAAAGGAGGAAAGACAGTAGGAAAAGGCTGCTTTCACATACTTGTTAGGCCTGATAGAAAAACAGGGCTTTGGTTTGGTTTTATTATTTTGATAGACCTTTATTCCTGAGATACCTACATTATTCTCAGGAACTTACTGAAAAAGTAAGACATGTTGATAATCTTCGCATAAATGTGAGAGGATTATGTGGGTTAAGGTTGCACTGTTTATAGTAGTACTATGAAATATATAGCAGCTTGCATTTTCATGTAATGGATTAAAAAAGGGAAGGAAATCTAACGGTATTTGATAGGATTAAAAAGCACAGAAAAAAATGTTTCGGTCTTCTGAAGAAGAAATGAAAATTAAAAGATCTACATACATAAGTCTTAATTTGACCTATTTGAAATACTGTTACTTCAATGCTTTTATTTTTGTTGGGGTGGGTTGTTAGTGATTCCATTTGCTGCTACTAGTTTTGGTGATGGTAACCAGTTAACCAGTTACTTAACTAATTGATACACAATTGATATTCCACTTCAGTGGCTAAACTTTTACATGGCCAAGTATTACAGGTTTTTTTTTGTTGGAAGATACTTCTATGTGTCCATAATTGTTTGCTTCACTGGAGCTAGGCAGACGTATAAGACTAACTTGTGGGACTGAAGTCTGAGAAGAATTGATTACAGAAGAGATGTAAATGCTGGTAGCAGCACTCAGTTATAGAGAGCAGTTAATATATATGTAAGTTAAAAACAGAGATGTGTGTTTGCTTTCTTTTAATAGTTTAAAGGCTGTTATAATACAAATCTAACATACAAGAAGTCTTTTTAGCTCTTGGAAAGTAAATTCTGACTTTTCAATGATACCTGCAGAAGCAGAATGCAGTTTGTAGAATGCAGATGTTCATTATGCTGAAAATATCAGCTATGTTGTAGTCATGAATTGCTGTACAGTAAAGTGCTGACAAACAGTGAATATTCTGCTGGAACGCTGATTCAGTTACATTTTTGTACAGTGAACTGTCTTTCAAATAAGGTCCTCTGAAGTAGTGATTTGATTTGAGTGTATACTTGAAATTGGCAGGCTAAATTCCGCTTGGGACTTTTCAGTTGTGTTATATTGAGATAAGGCTGAAATCCTGGCAAGAGATGTACAGGTATGTGTATCCCAAAAGAATGGACTGAAACATTTTAATGCGCAAGGTCGGCAGGATGTGCCACCATTAACCATTTAAAGTTTTCTGATAGGTATTTAGCAGTTTGTAACCACAGGCAGTAAAAAATGAGCTGGTCTTAAAATCACCACCTTTGGGAGTTTTGTTCTGCACTCTTTTCTTACCCCTCCCCCCCCAGTACAGTTGGACAAGATCTGTTGTAGTTATTTTGGGGGAAGTAAAATATAATCTTAACAGAAGCAACTGGATGAGGTGAATCAAGGCATGTGTATATTGTGATTATGGTCAAGATAAATGTGACTGTTTATATAAGAGGAGACAGAGTATGCAAAGGCAGCCTTACCTCTTAGTGCTCAAAGAACTGGTAAATGAAAAAAACAGGTTGCATCAATTAAAGTGATAACGTTATTTTAAATATATTATTTGTAGTTTTTCTGCACATCTGACTCTCTGTTTTACTTCAGAATTGGTCAAGCTTTAAAAGCCTATCACGTGTCCATGCAAGAAAAACTCAACAGAAAACCTGTACCTCCTATCCCAGAACTGCCTTCCACTGTGAGAAAGTATTTCTGTAATATTTTAACTGTTGCCTGTTCTTTGTTAATCCGGGCATTTATGGCTCTTACTTTGTAGTACTTACTTAAAGATATTTATCTCAATCCTTAGTAATTTATAAATGTATTTATGTGCTCAGGTAGTCCCATTGAAACTGATACCTATATATCTACAGAATAAAGTCTTTGTTTAAGAATAATATTTGTTAAATTGTATATTTCTGATTTTTGTTTTTGTTTGTGTGTTCTTAACACGTAAGGATTTTCTGTTCCTTTTTATACAGATGAACAGTGAGCTAAAACAACAGATGGTGAGTTAAATTCTTCTGATTTTTAGAGTAGAAGAGTGAGTGTTCTCTATTCAGAAGGATTAGTGTGTTATCTGCAATGAATGTTGGTTAAACAGGAAGTGCTTTTTCAGTAGTCTTGTTGGGGAAAAATGGAATAGGAAGCAAAAGAGGAATCTCTTCTTGTGTTCCAGTGAAAGGAAAGTATTTTTCTATTACAGAAAGTATGCCCATTAGTAATTGAAGTTTGGCTCTAAAATCATGTAGTTCAAGATCATTACTTAGAAAAATCCTAACAGGCTTCAGGATTTTTTTAGTTCCACTGGGGTCATAGACAGTACTTTAGCTTGTAGAAAACTTAGTCTTTGACATTGTCCACCTGATTTGACAAACACCTACAGATCCTGGAATTTGTGTATAGCTTTTAAAATAAGACTTGATCTCTGAGAGCCACGTTAAACTCAGATTAGCACTGAAATGGTTGTATCTTTTTTCCTAGCTGATGTTAGGTTTTATTATGTTTTGTTATGTTTTGTTTTATAAGAAAAGTATCACTCAGAAGCATAAACATCTTTTCCTTTGGCCAAAAAAATACCCAACTCCGTTTGTGTGTACTTTTTGACAGATACAGTTTTGCCTAAAGAGCAATAACGGTAACCTTGAACTGTTTATTGTCAGCAATAAACTTCAGCAGAGAACTAAGGAAAATGCTGTACTAAAACCTGCTATATTTTATATTTAATAACTGAGGCAGGGAGGCCATTTTACCAACCGTAGAGTAACTTTTAGGGTACTAGTCAGTGAGTACTGAAAGATGAGATTGTGTCACCTCCCCTTAAATATAAGAAATGGTAAATAAAAAGAGACCGCATTGTCAAGCTTAATGCAAAAATATTCACATAGCCAGTTATGAGGCCTCTGACAATATTGTCCTTCCAGGAAAACTATCTCTTTCTGAAGAAGTGTGTTTTAAGGAATCCCATCACTCCCATTCAGCAGCTGTGGCTGATGTCCATGCTCACACTGGTACCACAGTCAGCTATGGAAGGCAAAGACAGAAAGCTGTTGGTTGAAAAGCTTCTAGTGGAGATAATGGAGGATTATGAAAAGAGCATGAGAAGATTTGTGGGTAAGTACCAGAAACTACACAGCACTAATAATACTACATTAATGCTGCTTTCTATGCATGAGGAAACTCACACTAGAAAGCTGCAAAGATAAGTGGCTGGTTTCAGGTATTGCTCATACAACTCATTTTGGTTTATAAACTTTCTTTCCAGAGTTGCTAACTGGAATTTTGAATGTGTATTCCCTTGAAATCATGTATTAATGTCTTTAATTCACATTTATAGTATCTGAAATTGAGTCAAATTTTTATAATATTTTGGTAGATGGTTGATCTTTTTAAAAACGCAGATTAAAAAAAAAATCACAATTTAACATGGAATTAAGTTCTTCAGAATGTCGTCAGTGGGATAATTATAGTGCCCCACTGTCATTATATTAAACAAAATTGCAACTTAGAATCATAGAATGTCTCAAGTTAGGACTCTTAAGAATCATCGAGTCCAAATCCCTGCTCCTCACAGGACTACCTAAAACTAAACCATATGACTAGGAGCAGTGTCCAGATGCTTCTTGAACTCTGCCAGGCTTGGTGTTGTGACCGCTTTCGTGGGGAGCCTGTCCCAGTGACCGGCCATCCTCTTGGTGAAGAAATTACTCAAGTATTTAATTATTTAAACACTGGTCTCTTTGAAAACCTTCATGAATGGGGGACAGCACTGGAATTAAGCCATCTGAATCTGAACAGATATTTAGCAGAAGCTGTGATTTTGAGTTACCTTTGGGAGAATATGTTTTGAAGACTTGGATGATACAGTTACCGTTCCATCCTACTGGGTGCTTGGTTCAACCTGGAGTACGACTGGTCAACAACTGAGGAAAAGCAGTACCTGTTGAATGCAGCTTAATTTTCTTCTAATGTTCATATATTTTTTCTCCTAGTGCGAAGTATTCTTATTAAACCAGACATAAAAGGACTTGAAGATGAAGAGGAAGCACCTTTGCCTTCATTACCTGTGTGAGTGGATTAAGATAGCAAATTGACCCACTGGCAAAGCGCACTGGGTTGCATGAGTGAAATTCTTGTTGAGCTGCATGAACACACCATGTTATATTATGGCACAGTATTAATTCTGGAGTCCCTTAATGAGACGTTGTCGTGGTTTAAACCCAGTCAGGTAATTCGTTCACTCACTTCCCCCCCTTTTCTTGCCCTCCCCCTGCTCTCGGAGGGACGGAGAGGAAAATCGAAAAGAATGCAACTCCCACAGGTTGAGATAAGAACAGTTTAGTAACTAAGGTATAACACAGATCACTACTGCTACCACCAATGATAATAATGATACAGGAAATAACAAGGGAAGAGAATACATCATCTCACCACCAGCCGACCGATAACTCGCCCCCCCCCAGCCCGGCCAAGCTCTGACCCATACCTCCTCCAACCCTCCAGTCCCCCAGCCCTTCCGGCTCACTCCCAGTTACATCCTGGCCATGACGTGCTGTGGTATGGAATACTTCTTTGGTCAGTTTGGGTCAGGTGTCCTGTCTCTGCTTCCTCCTGGCTTCCCCTCCTCCCTGGCAGAGCATGAGGCTCACAAAGTCCTTGGCCAAACCAAAACATCGCTTGTTATCAGCTCTGTTCCCGAGCTGAAAGTCAAAACATTGCACTGCACCAGCTACCAAGAAGGGGAAAAATGACTGCTACTGCTGAACCCAGGACATTATCCACCCCTTATTCCATACCATTCACGTCATGCTCAGATCCCATATTTTCAATATACTCTTATCTTAGTGCATAGACCAGTCCCTATAAAGCTGCTGAGTCCATCTGGTCCATGATGTCAGGCTCCATCTCTTGTAATAGTCTTCCAGAGCAGGAGAGACTGTGTGCAGTGTTCACACTTAACCTGGGCAATAGTGTCCATTGCTAAGTCCACCCCTCGATCATGAGTCCATCTCTGTGTTGCATCTCTGCTCTGCTGGCCTGAAGTGCATTGGGCCCACCAGGCTCAAAATAATTCACTGTCCCCTTCAGCAGTTTCTGCAGCTTGTTGCTGGGGACTCCACACAGCTGCCTTCCATCTCCGATGCTTCCAAAGCACTGGAGGGGCCCAGTGGACTAGATACTTGCCCATACTGTCCCACACACCCTGCCACTCATGACTGTCCAGCCTTGGGGAAAACCTCTTGGTCCCCCTATATTGTTGTCTAACCCCAGACAAGACCCAAACCTGACTCTGCTTAACTTTTGAGATCAGACAAAATGGTTGTGGGTAGAACACAGTCTGTGTGTGTGCCAACATGCTGATCCCCATCACAATCAGCAGGCAGGTCCCAAGGATGCCCAAAGGCCATTCAAAACCTTCAGAACTCTCAAACGATGCTGCTGTACTTGTCACTGGGGCTGGTGTAGCTGCTGTGCTTGTCACTGGGGCTGGTGTAGCTGCTGTGCTTGCCGGCTCTCCCACCGCCAGCTTCTCTTTTCCTGAGTCCAGCTCTTCCTCCTCTGCCTTGCTGGGAAATGCTGCGTGGTCTCCTGCATCCTCCTGGGGCTCGGCGGGCGGCTTCCGGGAAATGCTCTCGGCCGTCGCAGGGCTGGGCTCGGCCGCGGGGTTCGGCTCCTCCGCGGGGCTCGGCTCCTCCGCCGCCTTCTCCCGCTGCTCGGCAGCCCCTTCCTTCTGCTCCTCGACCGCCCCGACCTCCTCCACCGGCAGCCGTCCCCTCGCGGCCTCCGGCCCCGCTCCCGCCGCCGCTTGGTCCCCGGGGCCGCTCTCCCGGGCCGCTTCAGCTGCCGCCGGCTCCCGGGGCCGCTCCCTCGGCTCCCCGCAGCCTCACGAAGATGGAGAGTAGGGTGAGGGCCAGGACGGTGAAGAGCAGCCGGACGGCCAGGTACAAGTCCACGGCCACGTCCGTCCCGCCCTGCTGCTGGAGCCCGCCCGTATTACAAGCCATTGCCATAAAGCACAGTGAGACAAGAACCTTAGCCCAGGCCCCATACTTGATAAACACTATCACAGCAAATACCGGCTCTAAGTAAGTTACAACATTCTGAAGCTGTGAGATCAACAAGAACAACTCTGAGAGCCAATAAATCAGCATTGTGACGAGCTACTATTAATCCAGTCAGATCTGTCGTTATCTCAACCCTTCGTGCCCCACGTTGGGCGCCAAAAAGAACTGTCGTGGTTTAAACCCAGTCAGGTAATTCGCACTCACTTCCCCCCTTTTCTTGCCCTCCCCCTGCTCTCGGAGGGACTGAAAAGAATGCAACTCCCACAGGTTGAGATAAGAACAGTTTAGTAACTAAGGTATAACACAAATCACTACTGCTACCACCAATGATAATAATGATACAGGAAATAACAAGGGAAGAGAATACATCATCTCACCACCAGCCGACCGATAACTCGCCCCCCCCCAGCCCGGCCAGCTCTGACCCATACCTCCTCCAACCCTCCAGTCCCCCAGCCCTTCCGGCTCACTCCCAGTTACATCCTGGCCATGACGTGCTGTGGTATGGAATACTTCTTTGGTCAGTTTGGGTCAGGTGTCCTGTCTCTGCTTCCTCCTGGCTTCCCCTCCTCCCTGGCAGAGCATGAGGCTCACAAAGTCCTTGGCCAAACCAAAACATCGCTTGTTATCAGCTCTGTTCCCGAGCTGAAAGTCAAAACATTGCACTGCACCAGCTACCAAGAAGGGGAAAAATGACTGCTACTGCTGAACCCAGGACAGACGTTCTTTTCTGTCTGCATTCAAACATCTTATATCTGACTGCTTTACAAAGTTTCAGCACTGACAGGGTTTTGTTACTGTTGTTACAGTTACATAGAGTAGCACTAGTGACTGCAAATGAGACTTCTTGCTCTCAGTGCCCAGACTCTCAAGTCATATTGCAGCCATCCCTGGTATAAAGTGTGTGTGTATGGGGCTGTTTACTGGCAGACAGCAGCATTGTACAGTACTTCAACATGCTAAAACTGCATCTAATAGCAAGGTTTCATATGCCTGTTGTGAGGTGAAACCTTTAGACCGAAGGAAAAGCTATTATGCTCTGCCCAAATAAAGGAGGAATTCAGTAGACAAAATATAATTATCTGAATGCTACTATTTGCTGAAGCATCAGAATGCATGCCATCTAAATAATGGTGATAAATGCTTCCTCTTAGCAGTTGGTGAAGTTAGAAGTTTGCACTGAAAGAGTGGGTGATCTGAAAATACTGTGGAATGTAACACATGGTTGATCAGAGTGTTTTTGTGGCTTCCAGTGCATCGCATTGAGGATATGTGTATGGCACTTAAATAGCTATTCACATTCGGGAATAAGTTTTTTAATGCTACTTTCTATATGTTTTATTCACATATTATTTGAACTCTTCACTTCTGTTTGTTTGTTTTGGTTATCTGGTTGTGGGTTTTTTTTTGTTTTTTTTTTTTTTCTTTTTCAGAGGCCTGGATTTTTCTAGTGCATGGCATAAGAGTTTTACCCGAGCAAAGAGTAAAATCCTTTCCAAGTTGCATATTCTCCACCCCACAATGAAATCGCTACTGGATTTTGGATATGCAGCATTCTTTGACTTTCTTCTAGTGGATTTCTCAAGCCTCAGGTAAAGTCTGTTTTGGTGAGTTATTAACCCATATAGGATTTTGAAGCTGGTAACTTGCTGAGGGTGTACTCAATCCCACTGTCCATGTTGCCAACAAAGATGTTAAACAACACTGGTCCCCGTACTGACTCCTGAGGGACACCACTCATCACTGATCTCCTCTTGGACATGGAGCCCTTGACCACAATTCTTTGAATGCAACTGTCCAGCCAATTCCTTGTCCACCACTGGTCCATCTGTCAAATTCATTCCTCTCCAATTTGGAGACAAGGGTATCGTGTGGGACAGTATCATCTACCTGGACTCGTGAAAAGCATTTGACATCAGTTGCTTTTCCCTTATCTGCCCTTGCTGTAGGACCTGTAGAAGGCCATCAAATTTTTCAGGCATGATTTGCCATTATTGAAGCCATGTTAGCTGTCACCAATCACTTCCTTATTGTCCGTGTACCTTTGTATATTTTCAAGAAGAATCTGCTCCATGATTTTGCCAGGCATCAAGGTCAGACTTCCTGGCCTATAGTTCCCTGGGTCTTCCTGTTTTTCCATTTTAAAAATAGGGGTTATGTTTCCAGTTTTCCAGTCTGTGAGAACTTCACTGCCATAACTTCTCGAATATAATGGATAGTAGCTTAGCTGCTTCACCCGCCAGTTCCCTCAGGACCTGCGGATGCATCTCATTAGATCCCATGGGCTTGTGCACCTTCAGGTTCCTTAAATGGTCTCATACCTGATTTTCTCCTCCAGCGAGCAGTTCTTCATTCTGCCAGTCCCTGCATTCTGTAAAGGTCTCCTCATTATTTTTTTTTAATTTTAATGCCATGACCACTCTAGAAGTCTGGTTGAAGTAGCAGTTGAAAAATTGACTTGAGTAGGGAATTCTGTGCTAAAGATCAGGTTTCTTGCCAGTTCTCATCAGATGAATTTTATTTTTAATCTTGGAACTTTGCATCATTTTCAAAAAGATAATTCTCCATATCTTGTTATTTTCCCTGGTAACTGTTCATTATTTGCTGGGATTCATGGTATTTTTTCCTCATTTAAGTCTACAGAAGTGATGCTTAAGTTCCCACTGTGCTTTCTGCTAAAAAAAGTATGGGTTTCTAATACAATGTGGATGACTGTTTCTTTACTCCATGGGTTTTAAAATTTTGTTTATAAGGTTGGTGTAACTTTCTTTTCTAGACTGAAAGAGCCAATTGACTGTGAATCTTTAAAGACTGATGTCTCTCTAAGCTGTTCTAAAGCAGATAAAAAAATACTGATGACATGGTATCAAAGAGTTATCGATCTCTTTACTCAAAATGAGGCACTGAATAGTGTAAAGTTGGATCAGCTTGACTCTTTTTATAACTGTGTGGATGTTCTTATGTCTAATCAGGTAAAAATCTTTCTTTGTGATAAACCTAATGTGAAATTTAGGTCAGTGCATTTAATGAGTCAGCATAAGATATGATGTGGGACCTGTTTAATCATTGTTAGCCATCTGTTTGCATATGATCCAGTAAAGTATTCAAAGTGTTATATATTTTTAACTTCCCTCATTTAAAATAAATACATGGTCTTGTCTACTGTTTCTTCTAGCTTTTTAGATGCAAAAAATGACTTCATTTTACCAAATAGAATGTAATTCACTTATCAAAGAAAGTGTCTGCGTTCTTAGCCCCCTTCCTATCACTGAACTTGGCACTACAGTTACATGTCATATATTAGCAAAATTAACAAAACCTGGTCTCTCTCCCCTGAAAGCAAACTTACTTACACAAGCAGGCTGAAGTCTGGCTCTGCCAGATGTATGCAAGTAGATATAGTTCTGCAGTGTTTCCAATACATTTCTTTTTCTGTGGAAAATGATCCCACAGTGCTGAGTTGATTTTTCCTTTTTCCTCCCTGATTATTTATATCAAGATGGAAGTTATATGAAGTGTCTCTCAGTTATTTTTTTGTTGTTGTTTTGGGGATTTCCAATTGGTTTATTTCCTAATAATAATAAACAAAGAACATTCACAGGAAAATAACTGATTTCACACTGAGTCAATTGTTTTTCAAAGTTCTCAGTGAAAATTAAAAATCCTTTAACTTCCAGTTAGAGCATCTGTTGTTCACATCGTTCCACGTAAGAATGTAATAATCAGTGGGAATATCTATGTTCAGCAGTTCAAGAAGGCAGTATTTTGGTTATTAAACCTTTATTTACTTTGTGGAAAAATAATGAAACAATATTAAAAAAAAATCAGAGGAAAATCAGAAATTCCAGATATTTCATTTATACTTAGAGCATGTGTTAGTAATAGACTGACTTTTGTAGCAAAAATAAATGCATGGGCTTTACTGAAATGTTTGTGTACTTGTTCATTAGTTTACATCCTTTAGGGGTTGGGACTAGTACCCACTGATGGCCTTACAAAAATTCATAGTCCTGAAGTTACCCATTAGTCAGGGCATAAGTTGTAAAATGAATGGAAATTCTGATTTACTGAATGAAGGCAAGTGGATGGGGTTTCTTTTCTTTTAACTAACAGGCGATATATGTTATTACCTAGGTGAAAGACTTGTTGACAAGAACAGTTGAAGCTTATGTGAAACTTTTTGATCCTGAAGACAGAAATGGCCCACCTTTGTTTAAGATGGAATTGACTCTTGATGACCAGAAAATAGAGTTTTATCCAAGCTTGCAAGACCTAGAAGAAGGAATTCTGTTTATAGCAAATTGCATAGGACAGACGCTCCAGGTGTGCTTTTATCTTTAAATATGTAACTGTGAGTTTGCTCAGTGCTTGCAAATATAAGTAATTTAGAACTCTGACTACCAGGGTAATAGGAAGCAGAATGCAACTTGAGGTATTTACTTTCCATGAGCATTCCGCAGGTGACATCATGAATCTTGATGCCCAGTGGAACTCCAGGCAGCTCTGAAACTCATTTTTGTATTCCTTGTTCATAAAAAATTGGGGTACCTGCTGCTGATAGTTTTAGTCTGCAGGTTTAACCTGCAAAACTGCGTGTCTACAAATGGATTGTCTGCTTGTTCATTAAAGAAATTCAGACTAAAAACCTACTCAGGAAAGGAAACTAGATAGAAAATAAACTTTTTGTTTTCTTATTCGGTATATTCAGAAACCTGAGAGTGCTTTAAGTACAAGTACAAGTAAACACATCTTCTTATTTATTTATTTTGAACATGGAAAATTAAGTAGTCTTGCTGTGTATACTATGAACTAACATTTTGTATAGAAATACAATTAGCACCTTAGTTATATGTGTGATGATTTACAACAAATTTGCATTAATGACTAAGATCCCCAGAGAAAATTAGAGTTGATATTCCTTTTCTTTCTAAGAAAAAGGAAAGCCTCAAATCTCTTAACAACTAAAACATACAGTATATAAAGATTTATGTCTTGAGAACCAACCTGTGACTCCGGGGAGGACAGCCTTTCTGGGGGCTTTAGCTGTATCTCTGTGGACTAAGTACTGGCCTTTAATCATACATGATGGTACTTTGAAAGAAGTGTTTTGCATTTAGTTGTATGTGTTGGCACATAGGACAAAATTTATTTTTCTGTAACATTGGGTAATTCTTTTTTGTCTGTTTCATGTGTTTCCTGTTAAACTGTTTGAATTGGGAAGAGTGTGTGAAGCACCTGACCTTGGTAACAATTAGGGTTTCATTTTTCAATGTCTTCTGCAGATTGCAACTTACTCTTAAACTATATATATCCTGGTATTGCCTTTTAAAATATAAATAATTAAAACTTGCACTCGTATTAGAACTTCCAAACGGTACGTTCTTGGCTAACGGGAGACACTGCAACTCTGGATGCCGAGCTTCCTAAGCATGTCTTAGAATGGGCCACAACTACACTGAAAAAGCGTATCAGAGGCAACTTAGAAGGTCCAAAGAAATATTTTGAAAAATATGGTGAGTGTTAGAAGAGTGTTTAAATAACTGTGTTATTTCTTTATAATAAATAATTTACGGGACAGTGTATGTGTTATAATAGTATTAATCCAATCTAATTGAATTGTAGTTGAAAAGTATGGCTGGCTTGTAGATGGGACTGCACAGGCACGGGTAGAAAGATTTGTAGCAGAAGAACACAGTTTTGATGAATACACTGCTGTAAGTTTTAATGCTACATTTTATCTTTAATTTTTACTATACATAGAGCAATAATAAAAAGGAAACGGAGGATAAGGGGTGCTTAACCTTTAGCTAAAACTTATGCTGACTGCCTACAAATCTACAACATTGAGTGTTTCTTCTCCTAAAAATCTGTGGTAAATAGAAAAAAAATATTTTCTCCAATGTATAATACTGATTCATGTAGCCAAGTATTTAAATAACAGCTCTGAAGTGTAAAATCTAATATTTTTCTGAAGTTAATAGATG